TGCGGAATCGCCGCGTCCAATGGGCGCGCTGCGCACTCGGATGTCGTCAGCGCGGCGTGGCGGGCGCGCGGACACGTGCGGCGGGAGCGAGCGCCGGGAGCTAACACCGGGGCTGAGCCGGCCCCGGCATGGAGCTGCTGCCCCGGAGCGAGGACTTCGGCTCAGCACGGTACTGGGATCGGTTCTTCCAGCAGCGCGGGCAGCGGCCCTTCGAGTGGTACGGGGCCTTCCCGGAGCTCTGCCCCGTCCTGTACAAGTATGTCCGGCCCCGCGACAAGGTGAGGTCCGTCTGGTACCCAGCGCCGTGGGCCCGGGCAGCGCCTCCCCTTGGGCGGTGACCTCTGCGCCGCCACATTCCCGGCTTAAACGGCCATTGTGCGCGGACGCAGGATGTGAAGCCCCCGATGTGCCGTAGTGGGATGAGAGACCCTCAAGTCGCCCTGGTATGGGGAGCTCTGGAGGTTAAAACTGTCAGATCATCCCCCAAAGAGGTGCAGCAAACGCATCGCTTCTGTGCTCATGTGACTTTTCTATATGGAAATGTTATCTTAGTGCCCCGGAGAGTGGATTTGCAGGTGCTGTGGTTGTCACAAAAGGTTCATGGCCGTGCCTGATATTTGCTCGTAAAATGCTTTAGGGTGTGTTTTCAGGGCGTTCTCACCATCACGCTGCTCTTGTGCTGCTCCCCAGGTTCTGGTGGTGGGCTGTGGGAACTCAGAGCTGAGTGAGCAGATGTACGACATGGGGATGTGCGAGGACATCGTGAACATCGACATCAGTGATGCTGTGATCCGTCAGATGCAAGAGCGGAGCGGGAGCAGAAGGCCAAAGATGAGCTACGTGCTGATGGACATGCTTCAGATGGACTTTCCTGACGCCCAGTTCCAGGTGGTCCTGGACAAAGGCACACTGGATGCCATCCTCACTGATGAAGAAGAGGCCACGCTGGTCAAGGTGGACAGAATGTTTGCTGAGATCAGCCGGGTCCTGCAGGTAGGAGGGCGCTACCTCTGTGTCTCCCTGGCTCAAGCCCATGTGCTAAAGAAAACAGTGGAATACTTCTCCCAGGAAGGCTGGTTTGTGCGTGTCCATCAGGTGGCCAGCAGTGGGGACAAGCAGCAGTTTGTTCTACCAGTCTTTGTCTATGTCATGACAAAGTTTAGGAAGATTTCTGGCTCGGCACCGCAGATCCTGGAGATCTGCCCTGAGGAGCAGGACAAGCCGATGCGGGTGGAGAGTGCGGAGCGGCTGGTGGCAGCGGTGAAGGACAGGCAGCATTATGCCCTGCTCTGCAACCAGCTGAGCAAAATTCCCTGTGGGGAGCAGGTTTCCCTGGATCTGTGTGACAAAGAGAGCGGGAAGCCTCGCTACACGCTGCATGTGGTCGACAGCCCCTCAGTGAAAACTTCCCGGGACAATCACTTCGCCATCTTCATCAGTGAGTACAGTCTTTCCTGCCTGCAATGAGATAGTGCTCTGGCCAGGAGCTGCAAAATGTCCAGTGGCTCTGGCCCCACTGAAATCAGGACTGGAGAGGGAAATAACCCACCTGTTTTAGTCATGGCTTTGTGGTGGGACATATGTTTGCCTGGTGGTGCAAGCAAAGATCTGGCAGAGAGCTTGCTGCCTGAGTAGATGTCTGTCTGGCAGCAGAGAGACACTGCCTGCCCTGGCCCCAAAGTGATGATTCCTGCCTTGATGCAGGTGACAGCTGCCATAGCACATCGCTGCATAAAGCCAGAGCCCAGCACATGCAACTGGAAAGGCGTCACTGGTGTGTACGTGTCCTGACTTGCCAGGCCCAGGCTGCTTGGGGCTGCACTTCGCTTTTGCATTTGCACCTCACACAGTTGTGCTGGGCTCTGCCAGCAACACTGTTCCCTGCCTGCGTGCCTGCAAAGCTGGGGCTTAGCACAGCCTGGAGGTGGGTTGTGAGGCTCTTGGCCAACCCTTCTTATGAGGTCTGGCTTTTCCAGCCTTCTGCGTGAGCCTACCCAAAACGGGGAAGGTCCTCTTGATGGTTGCATAGTGCCTCTCTAGGCATGCAGCAGTACCTCCTTGTGATGTCTTGCCATTCTCTGTAGCTCCTCTCTTGGAGGCCGGGGTGGTTTCTCAGGGACTGGGACTGACCCAGACTGATAGCTGTCCCTTCTGCAGTCCCGCAGGGCAGAGAAACAGAGTGGCTCTTTGGGATGGAGGAAGGGCGGAGGCAGCTGGCCACCAGCGCGGGTTTCAGGCGCCTTGTCACCGTGTCCCTGCACAGGGAGCAGCACTACGAGGGCATGGCGGGCATCCAGGCAGAGCTGTCGGGGAAGGTGATGGAGCTGGCCCCGCCGGGCCTCCCTGCCCGGCAGCAGGTGAGCCCCACCACCCAGCCCCCTTGCTTGGTTTCCCCAAAACCAGGGCCGGACTGTCTCTCCGCTAGCAGCGAGTCCCTCTTCTGTGAGGGACACCAAGCTGCAATGTGTGAGCTGGCTGCCTTGGCAGGGAAGAGGCCAGTCTCAGGTGTAGCTCCTTTGTTTATCTCCAGCTGGTTGCCTCTGCTTGGAGGCAGGATTTGAGGTGCCTGCGTGGCACAACTCAGTGTGATGTCCTTGCCTTCTGAAACGCAACATCCCAAGAAAACCAGGCATCCTGTGAGCATCCAGCCCCTTTTTAATCTTAGCTTTAACCTTTCCTGTCCCTTCTGTCTCCTCCTTCCTGCCCTAATTCCCCAAACATGAGTTCTTGCAAGAAGTCTTGGGGTATTTTCTCCCTGTACCCCAACACATGTATATGGGAGGGAAGCTGGTGTCCCATGCGCTGGTCCTCAGATCCCCTGTGGCCGTCTATGGCACATCCCACTGCTCCCACACTGTGTCTGCTTTGTCCCAGCTCTTCAGCTATGGTCAGGACATGAGGAATGCCACAGTCTGTTCCTGTAGCCTTTCCTTCTTCACACTGGTCCCTGTTTCTCCCTGCAGGTGCCCTTTCTGTCCGTAGGAGGGGACATTGGGGTGCGGACAGTGCAGCACCATGACACCAGCCCCCTGAGTGGGGAGTATGTCGTGGAGGATGTGAAGGGGGACAGCAGCTGCTACTTCCGACGCCTCATCTTCCTCCACAACAGGAATGTGGTACAGTCGGAGGCTCGCCTTCTGGCCCCCATGCCGCATCCAGGTATGTGGGATAGATTGGGCAGTCAGGAAGGGGCAGGGGCCAAGGGTGAATTTTTGGGGTGGTAGAGAGTGAGGTTGATACCGGTGGAAGATAAAAGTCCCAGTAGGACCTGCCTGCCTTGTCACGGGGCAGCTCTGGAAGTGGTTTTGTGCCCTGCTGCCTGCCTCGTGGGTGGTATGGGCTGGGGATGGCTGGTCCCCAGAAAGCATCCTTGTCTGCTGCCTTGCCTTACCAGCCGATGCCTCTTGTTGTTCAGGCCAGAAGAAACGAAGGAGGGACAAGAAGAAACCCAGCCCTGCTGAGCTGCCCACAGCCATCGACAAGAGCTACCTGTGCTGTGAGCACCACAAGGCCATGGTTGCGGGGCTCTCCCTGCTGGGGGACCCTGACTCCCTCCCAGGTGATGAGGCTGGTGGTGGGAGGCTGTGCCCAAGGCAAGAGTGGGGCAGGCGTGTGTGTGTCCACATAACCCAGCTCCTTGGGGACGGGCTTTCCTGGCTGTGGCACCCTGTGTGCCCTTCCCGGAGTGGTTTGGGCAGGAGGGTGGAATGGGTGGTGTGGGCCTGACCCAGTGACTCATGGAGCACTCTCATTGGCAGGAACCCCGCTGGCGGTGCTGGTGGTAGGCCTCGGCGGGGGCAGCCTGCCCCTCTTCATCCATGACTACTTCTCGCAGGCCCACGTGGCCGTGGTGGAGATTGACCCCTCCATGCTGGAGGTGTCTACGCGGTGGTTTGGCTTCTTCCAGGGTGACCGGATGCGGGTGCACATCTCTGATGGCCTGGACTATGTGGCCAAGCTGGCGGCTGAAGGTACCACCTCATGGAGCACCCCAGGTCACCCGTCGAGGCCAGTGGGTGACATGCTGGGGACTGGGCTGCTTTCACCCTCTGCTTCCCATCCCTGCCTGTTTCCTGCCATGTGTCACAAGCTCCAGCCTTGCCAGGTCTCAGCAGTTCATAGGTGTGTCCTCACCAACGTGTGCAGGGAACCTTAGATCTGCTGCCTCCCTCAGCGCTGAGGGCTGCTGCTATGGGTTTCATTTGGAAAGAGAAACTTCAGAAGAGAGAAATGTCTGTAATGTGGCAGAGGGCGTCATCACCACCCTGTTTGTTGCCTCCCCACTGTACCCGGCTCATCTCTTTCCCATGGCATAACAAATCTCTGCTCTCCCTCCTGCAGCACCAGCCCAGTATGATGCCATCATGTTCGATGTGGACAGCAAAGATCTCACGGTGGGGATGAGCTGCCCGCCCCCAGCCTTTGTGGAAAAGCCCTTTCTACAGAAAGTTAAAACCATCCTCAAGTCAGAAGGTAGGAGAAGAGATCTGGCTCTGTCCCTGCAGCCAGGCTGGTGGGTCCTGTGCAGAGTTTCAGTAATGGGGCTGTGCTATGGTTTTTCATCCTGGAGAATAGCCACCATGGCCAGGATTGCTGCATGGCATCTGCCGCTCCTGATGGATCCTGGATCCGGGTGTTTCAGTGGGTGTTGTGACAGCAGGGAGCAGGGAGGAGTGGGTGGTCTATGGCAGTGCTGGGTCAGGGGGGCTGAGACATCCTGGGGGACCAAGAAAGGTTGCGGGAAGGCAGACGGTGTAGGTGGTACCTGGGAACAGATTGTGTGGCCACCCATGACCCGTGTGGCGACAGGGATGTGGACCTGGGCCAAGGGCACCAGAGGGATGCTGGTGCTCGTGCTGTTGCGGGGAAGACATTTGCACCGGGGTGGCACCAATTCAGCTGTGTTCCCGCAGGGAGTAGGGTGGTGTATGTGGGATCGTTTGAACTCCTGTTCCTCTCGCCCTGCTGCAGGGGTTTTCGTGCTTAACTTGGTGTGCCGTGATGCCCGGCTGAAGGAGTCTGTCCTGGCCACCCTCAGGGAGCTCTTCCCGCTGCTCTATGCACGCCGCATTGAAGGGGAAGTCAACGAGATCCTGTTCTGTCAGCCCAGCTCCAGGGGCCAGCAGGACCCCACAGAGCTGGGGGCACGTGCCCAGGCGCTGGAGGGGGCCCTGCGGCAGCCTGGGCGCCCCTGGGACAGCTCATACGTGCTGGCAGACATGCTGCAGGCTGTCAAGATTCTCTGAGAGGGGCTTTGATGCCACTCGAACAAGAAACGGGTCCTTATTTGGGTGTTGTGGCCCTGCAGCGCAGGGGTGCCTGTGGCTGGGCCTGCCATACTGGAGGGGCCAGTGCTAGCCTGGGTCTGCCTGAGGGATGGAACTGCCACAGGGAAGCACTCCCCACAGCATGGCTCCCTGGGAAGCAGTCCCAGACCATGGAGGGCTCTGAAGCCCCAGGGGCAGCGTTAGGGGGTGAGTGGAGGAAGGTGCTGTGGGACTGGCAGGACTGTGGGTCTGCCACCATTGCTTTCCTCTTGTGGGGAAGAACGTCCCTCTGACCATCCCCTTCCCCTCTAGCACAACTCCTGCCTACCCCCTGCCATGCTGCATCTCCCCACATCTCCAGCATCCCTGGTCACAGGTCTGTGAGGAGCCCCAGCTGTGCCCCAAGCCTGGTTGTGGATGTGTGTGGGTAGGCTGAGAGCTGTGAAAATAAAGTGCTCAGGACTGCTCTGAGGCCCACAGTGCTTTGCTGGGCGTATTTCTGGAGTGCCCAGCACCCCTGGAAACCATACTGTCACCTCAAGGGCACATCCTGGGGGCAGGCAGCTGTCCCTTGTACCCCCCTACCCCCTTCCTGCTCACCTTCCCTAAACCTCGACCCCACCATGTGCCTGCCCCTCTTCTGCATCTTTCCAGCTATCACCACTGTGAACTGGGACCTGTAACTCCTGGGGCCAGCAGGGACCCAGCCCTGTGGTCAGGCCCCTGGGCATACCAACGCACTGACTCAGCTGGTGCAGGTCAGTCTTCCTGCAGGATGAAAAGGCAGTGGGAAAGTTCCCATGGGTGTTCCCATGGCACCCCCATTCCTGCCGAGGTGCCTCATTTTGTCTCTCCAGAGGGTTTCAAAGCCTGGTCCCTCCCTGTACAATTTAGCTGAAAAGCTGAGTGTGTCCTGGCTGATTACAGAGCAGCTGACCTGCTGGTGTTCCCACATTCATCAGAAGTCAGTGTTGGGGGGGCTTGTCTTCCCTGCAACAGCTGGTACCAAAATGAGTGAGACATGGTACCAAAGTGATCAGCTTGCAGACATCAAGGTGACTTGCTCAGGCACCATGATGCTTTGCCACTGATCCCTCACCCTGTGCTCTCTTCTGCTGCTGACAGACTGAGCAGGGACATCTTTCTGGCAGCTGCTTTCCAAAGCAAACCCCAGCCACCTTTCACAGCCCAGGGTGGTAACAACACACCCAAAGCAGCTCTAGGAGGGATCTGACCTAGCTGTTGGTGTGGAGGCAACAGCAGCTGCAGGAGCCCTTGCCAGCTTTGCAGCTCATGCACCCTGTCCCACCAGGGTGTTGGTGGGCTGCTGCTCATCAGCTTCTTCCCCAGCAGGACCCAGCTCTCCACATGTGGGAAATCCTCCTTTGTTTGGAAAGCTGAGCCAAGGCTTGCAGTTCCTTAGCTCCACAGTGGCCATGGAAAGGGCACCCCATGAGCTCTTAGCCCCTGAATAAATGGGAACTGCAGCCACTGCACTGATGCGAGAAACAGGGCAGCCATGCTCACAGAAAACATGTCCCTCTGATCAGCAACTGACTGTATTTTAATTTGTCAGCAGGTTCTGCTTTGGAAACTGCTCTGCTCAGATCCCTTTTAGGATGCTCCCTGCCATACTCACCTTCACACAGAGTGGGACAAATCAGTGCTCTACTTTCTTCCTGGGCTGGCCTGCTTCTATGCTGAGGGAGCAGATACTTTTTTAAAATAAGTGCTTTTGATGGTTCCCAGGCACTGGAGAGCAGGGCTGGCCTGCTTCCTGCCTCATAAAGGATGGCAGCATGAGCATGTGCTCTCCACATGTTGCTCACCACCCAGTCGCTCCTCTGTGTTGTAGTGTGTTTGGGGCAGCACGTGGTTGCTGGTTAACAGGAGAGATAAGGCTGGAGATCAAGCTAGGTGGAAGTCCGTCTGCCACCATGCAATTAGTTTCTAAAGTTCCTCTGTAATGAGCACTGTTTTGAAAGATACCCATTATCCATCCAGCTTAGCGATAGCAAGTTTCTCAATTGGATCAGCACTGCTGCATTTAGTCTATTTTTAACTTAGTTTTCAATTCTCAACATAATTCCAATGACATAGGTTTGTGTGTGTGTGCCCTTTATCTCACCAAAACCATCTCCTTTCTTCCCCAGGAGCTCATACAAAGGCTGTGTTCATCCCTCCCTTGTCCAGTCCTGCCTTTTTGTTGTGCTTCCTAATTGCTGTGTAATGCCACATCCTGGTAGAAAAATAAAAGCCATCTATTAGAGACAATATAAGGATGAAATCTCAGTTCATTGCAGCTGTCCTTGCAGCTACTGACAGCCCTACAAGTTTGGTCTGGAAATATTTTTCAGCTGGAAAATTGGCAAATTCATGAGTGCTGCAAATACCAAAAATCCTCCTCTGCAGGTAAAATGCTCCAAGGCTGGAATAATTGATGTGTAGTAAATATTTCTCTCCTGGCAGCCAAAACATGCAGTTAATGTATATGTTTGGCAACTGTGTTTCTGTTGAGTGTTTTGGCAATATACTCGTGTTTACATCCCTTATTCCTCACTTCCTTCCTTTGCAGCGTAGGCATGCTGTAAGTGGCAGGATAGAAACAAGCACTGCTGTCACTTAGCAACCTCTGCTGGCTTTGAGATGTTGACTTTCTTCTTTTCTGGATTTCCCAGCATAAAAAGAGATGGCCACATAACTCACTGCATGGCTCAGGTGTGAGGCTATAGCCAGCTGAGGATGCTTTGGTCTGGTTGAGCCTGAATCCCTCTCAGCATCACATCCATGTTCCGCTGCTGAGTGAGCAAGGTGCTAGGAACTGATGGGTCAGCCCTGGGTTTCCTGATTTTGTGTGGAGGGATGCAGCTGGTCATGCCGAGCCGTGGAGACTCTGTGGCCAGGCAGCTAGCAGGACGGTGACACTGCAAGGCAGGCAGCAGTGGGGTCCCACACATACACACTCTGTGGTGTAACTTCCTCAGGTGTCACAGCCCAGATCCCTGCTCTGCAGAAGGACTGGAAGTGGCTGGACTCTAGGGAAGAGGGTGGAGGTGAATGGGGGACATACTGTCAGCTGAAAGTATGTCAAGCAGCTGGGAGATATTTTGCAGTAATAAAAGCTGCAGGGACTAAGTGCTGAGGCTGCTTCCCTCCAGCTATGAAGAGCTCTGCCAGGGTAAGCCTGGCCCTGCTGGATGGGGATGCTGCTGCTGCCTGGGCAGGGCAGGGTCACAGCACAGTAAGCGCAGCAACAGCTGCATCTCAGAGAGTGGAAGTGGTTGGGAAGTGTTCTGTCCATACAATCTTCCCTCGGGGGAGCACTTGGCTTGCCTGGCTTTGTGACCAAGGAAGCAAGCATGCTGCCAGGCTGCAGTGCAGGACTATGGCTCTTTCCTGGGGTGTAAGGGCTGCAGGGAAACATATCTGTAGGCTGCAGTGCAGCACAGTGACTTTTTGCACGTGACTAAAGGATGCAACTGGAGGTCATAGTGGGAGAGAGCCCATCACACCAGACAGGACAGGGATTGGGGTGTCACTGTCCTGTGATCCATGAGTCAGCAGTGCCACATGCTGCAGGGGAGAAAGCACCTCCTCTTTACAGGGGAAA